GGGCGTGGGTGTGGGGTGTGGGTGTGGGGCGTGGGTGTGGGTATGGGGTGTGGGTGTGGGGTGTGGGTGGTTGTGGGTGTGGGTGGGTTTAATGAAGAGAAGATTCACACTCACACCCACACCCAATGTAAGCTTATTTACGAGAAAAAATGAGAGCAATAGCAGTGAGAGAATGGCATCATTATTAGTACAAGATACTATGATCAACAAATATGAAGAAGGAGGGAAAAACCAAAAAAATGAAAGAAAGAAAAAAGAAAAAAATAGTAGCGTGACCAAAAAAATAGTGGCAGAGAGGGATGAAGAAAAGGAAAGAGAAGAGAGAAAAATCAGACAAAGAAAAGATATAAATGCGAAAAATAATTAAAATGAAGAACGAAGAGAATTATGTAAGCTGTTCTTGCAACATCATAATTTCCAACTTTCCTGTTGGATTTTTCCAATCGTGTGAATATAATACGTCTGTAAATAACATTTCTCATTACTCGACTTTAGATCATGTCAAAAGATAACACTTCGTCCACATCACTTAAGCATGAGAGAAAGACTGTTCCATCTGAAGATGATGTAGTTCAAGCACAGCCGTAACTGATGTCATTCAAGAACGCTCTGAGGTAGATGAGATTGATATGTCAGCCATGAGCCGTGCTGAATTGACTGATATTGCGTTCAAACATGGCCTTTTGGATGATGAGCTAACGCGACGTTTCATCGATTTTATGTCAGTATCGAGTAATTTCGTCTCGGCTTCTATGACTGAACGGCTAAAAATGATTCCAAAACTTGTGTACAGCATCGAAAACTTCTCACCAATATGCGTCGAGAAATGGGTCAGTACAGTGAAATTGCCATTCATTTTGAGACGCTCATGAGTGAGTTTGGCGAACTCGTTCTTACTACACAGCACAATATGTCCATGTTCCTGCCACATCTTAGCGAAGCACGCGACCATATTGATGTACTTAGAAATGCGTTGCAACGGTCTTCGTCTGAAGCTCTTTTGAGTTCTATCGATCAAACAGATGTGAATTTGGCTTTGAAGGAGTTGGCCGAAGGAGTTCGCGCTATGATAAAAAACGCACGTATTGACC